TACCTAAATTAGGGAAACCAGAATCGTATTTGTTTTTCTTGCTGCATTGTGAGATATTGTTATAACGCAGTTCGATTTATTAGACGGTTTTACATTATTTTTATATTTTCATTTAGTGAATTGCTTTAGTTAGATTAAATTACATTTAGAAGCATAGAGTTGTGAAAGATGGGCAAAATAAAACCAATATACAAATAACGAAAAAATAGACGATTGTTTCGAATAAGGTAATATCAATTAATACAGAGTATTTATTAATTGAGTGCCGTTACTCAAAGGTGTGAATGTTTGGGTGATTCCAACAAGAAAAGTTAATATCAGCTTATGTCGTAAACCTCTTAATTTTTGAGTTGCAGGGTGTTATAATATTAAGAAAAAAATAACTATTTTATCATAAGTTTCTTATCAGTCTAGATATGTTTATAAAATTTTGCCCAAGAAAAAGTGTTTCCACTCATGGTGGGTTCCTACCAAATTTCAACAAAATATAAAAAAAAACATTTTTTTGCTTTTTATTTTCTTACGCGAAAAGGTTGCATCGTACGGAAGTACATCTATAAACCAAATTTGATCCAAAATAAATAAGGATTTTAAAGATAATTTTGGTTTTTAGAAGAAGCAGTGGCGTACCATATTTTTCTTCAAAAATATTCAGTTCAAACCCGGTACGAACGTCAGTGGTAAAAATTAAAAAGGAGGGATTAAAAGTGAAAATTTAGTCCGTTGGTACATAATATACTATATTTATATATCTTATTTTTATTATTACACTGAATGTGACATGGCTTTTTTGTTTGCCTTTTTTTGGTTTAACAAAATATTATTTTAATGATTTAAAATAAGCTGCCAGTAATAATAATTATCTGTACCTAAACATATACAGAGTAAAATCATAAAATGACGCATCGAGAAAGCACCAAATTATTACACTTTTTTAATCTACGTAACAAGTATTAAAAGTAATTAAAAAAATTAACTTCAAAATCGTGCAGATGCCATCACTACATCTCAACCAAATTTATATGGGACCACTCCTGAAGAATCCTCTGACTAACAAAAAAAGAATCATAGAAATCGGACAAGGTGGTAAAGAATTATCGCTAAACATACATAAAAAATGAAGAGTTTGAGGATTTTCTCATGGACCCAATTATTAGATTTTGACCAAATATGGGACCACCCCTAAAGTACCCCCTTTCCAGCAAAAAAAGAATCCTTGAAATCGGACACCGTGTTAAAGAATTATCGCTGAACATACATAAAAAAAATATTACGACGAATTGAGAACCTTTTTCTTTTTTGAAGTCGGTTAAAAAAGTATATAATTAACTATATTAATTGTATTAACTAAAAACTACTATATGCGATTATATACATTTTTTTAAATTAATTTTATTTGTAAAAATGTGGGTACCTACCTAGTTCACTGCGCAGCCAAATTTATATTTATGGTATAGAATTTTTTAAATAAATAAAGTTTTAGGTTTAATTAAACATCAAGTTTTATCAGGAATAACATTTTCTGAAAAAAGTAACAAGAAAAAGTTTTCCATATAAAAAACATACTGTTTCGGAGCCACTATATACAGGGTGGCTCACGCTCAACGGGACGGAGCTTTATGGGAAAACGACCAAAGATATAAAAAATTCGTTTGGGAGGAATACGTAGGTTACAGACGGCTACAATTTAAAATTTGTTAGATGTATACAGGATGTCCCACATAAGAGAAAATATACAAAGTTATATTATATTTAATGGAACACCCTGTTTTTTATTTTAGAATTAAAAACTACATCAAAAATAATGTCAGTTAACTAAAGGTTCCCTATTACTATTATTATTAGTTTTCGATTTATTTGAATTTTTAAGGAAAAAAAGTCTCCCAGAAATTAATTGTTTACTCTTGTTTGAATAATTTTTAATGAACTAATTTTTTTTCTTATGTGGGACATCCTGTATACATCTAACAAATTTTAAATTGTAGCCGTCTGTAACCTACGTAGGTATTCCTCCCAAACGAATTTTTTATATCTTTCCATTTTCTAAAAAACATTAATAGACCTTTTTGAAATCGGTTTTCGGTGACTTTTCTTCTGATTTATTGCCTTGAAAATGATATGATTTGCATAAAAAACAAAAACTGACCTATTATTTTTTTGAAATAAAAATATGTTGTTATTATCACAATTTTCGACTCTTCTCTGTTTCCAAAAGAGAAACACGATGGTGTCAACGCCACATGGGAGGGATTTGTCCAACTATTTCTCAGTTGGTAATATAGATACCTGCATATTTTATTTTATTTAAAAATTAGCGGGATATTGTTTGTAGCTCTCTATTATAACTAAAATTTTGCATTTTTATTGGCATTTTTTACAACACAGACAAGGTGTAAGATGGAACAAAATGCCAATCAAAATATAAAATTTTATGACCCATAATTTTAGGAAGGGTAAAATAATGTAATATTAAATAATTGTATTATCTATTATATCATTAAAACTAATTTATAATATATTTTTAAATAAATAATATTTTAATAAAACAACTAAAACATTCTGTAAACTTGGGTAGGTAACAAAACACATGAAGGAGAACCATCCATATAATCTGAAACAGAAAAAATTCAAAGCAGTATAATACTTTTAAAAAACAGATGCCTGCGGGATTAAGCTTTGAGGTCCTTCTCTGATTCGCAAATTTTAATTTGCTAATTTCTAATTATGAAATAAAGTTTTTTCTTCCTTGGAGTTAACTATTCACTGGTTTGATTTAAAAATCCAAGATCTAATCGTTGTTTTTTAGGTAATAATTATATTTCATTGGATGAAATTTTGATCGAATGTAACTTTCTTTTCACTGGTAATTTGTTTGACGGTATGATAACAATATTACTTTAGTGTTAATTTAGCTTTCAAGGGTACCAAAGGCAAAGCCAATATATACACAGTCTTGTAACATATAAATGGTTTTTCGCAAGTGAAATGATGAAGTTTATGCGGCATCATTTAGTTCCTTGCTTAATATCGGAAGGAAATAAAAAAGATGAGTTCTTAAAATTTACTTTTATACAAATACTATTTACCTTTATACAAACAACGCTATTACAATTAGATATTATGAATTATTTACGAACAGGACCTGCTATTCACATGTTAAAACACCAAAATATCTTTGCTTAATTTTAAATTTAACATGTTAAACTAAAATTAAATAAAAGTAAGAGTTTACTACGTTTTATTCAGCAACCATAACCATATTGTTTTGTTATTGTATCGATTAGATCGGATGACAATCCCAAAGTCAGATTTACATTGTACAAATAATTGATCAATTCATGTTTTTCAAATAATTGTAGTATTTATATACGTAAATATATAATTTTAAAACAATATTTTTCGTGTGTTACTTTTGTTACTAAACGAAATATGTTTGAATTATACAATTATTCAGTGTACTTTAAATTTAAATATCATTTTGTTATTGTAAAACGGACTGGTATGCGCGGATGTGTTGCGCACTAACCTGTTGATATAACGCGCATATTTTATAAGCCTTTACCTGTATTTACATAAATTTTCTTTTAGTAAAAATAAAAAATAATCCGTAAAATTGGTGTACTATGAAACCCTTGCATATAATATATATGCTAATCTTAGTATTACAGAAATGATTTACGTAAAAATAAGGTGTACAAATAGTTAAAATTTATTTATCCCTCGTAAAACATCAGTAAAATATATTATAAATTGTTTTCATTAACAAATATTAATTTCTTAAAAATCTAACAGAGGCGCCACCTGCTAGACGAAAAATCTTGCAATGTAACGGTTTCGTAGTACCCCACTTTTAAAGTTTATTTTTGACTGTTTTTAAAAGAAAAAAATATGTACGTGTAGGTAAAGGTTAAGTCTACGCTCCTCCGGAACCACTTTTTCAAAATTCAATTTAGTTTTTTCTAAAAAAAAATTGAGAAAATGGATAAAAAAGTCGAGTTTTGTATTTTTTTTTTTTATAAAAAACTGAATCAAATTTTGAAAAAGTGTCTCCAGAGGACCACAGATTTAACCTTTACCTATACGTACATATATTTTTTAAAAAAGTAAAAAATAAACTTTAAAAGTGGGGTACTACGAAACCCTTGCATGCTCGGCGCTACAGCCAAGTAAATACTCCTCTTAAGCCAGTTTCATTTATTTACCAATAAGCTGACATCAACAGCTACCTATACAATATTATATAAAATACAATATAACGTCCATAAGAAAAAATGAACTTGATGGTGGTATAAAATAACTGAAACGACGTGTTTAAAATCCAATTGCAGAACTGATATCTACATAAAAAGTTACTTCAAAAATATTTTAACAGATTGCCAAAAATTGCAACTTTTAGAATTTTTTAAATAAAAAAAGATAAAATCGCGTACTTAACGACTTTAAGTTACAATATATTCGTAGAATTTTTTTCCCATTTAACCGTTTCTCTGTATTCTATAGTTTTTAAGATCCATATACATGTAGGCCTCAATTTCGGTCACACTGTATAATAAAAAGAGTCTGTTTTGAAAAGTTAATTTTATTTTGTGACAGTTTTCAAACTTCATATCTACTTCATCATCAGGCTAAAAGGACAAGTTTGGAGTCAATAAAATGTATAGAATATATGGAAGGAATTGATAATGGTGACAAAAAATATATGAAGGTTAAAATTAATTTAATAATTTGACTTACCATAACATATCTATTACATATCAGCAACATGGTTAAAAAAAAAACATAGAAGAGATTTTTTGTTAAAAAAGACCGGTTCGATTCCACTTTTCAATTTTTAATTCCTCTGTTTTCTTTCGCCTTATGGATTTGGAGGAATTTTGTAATTTATTGAATCTCCAAAAAATTACTTGCTTAATAGCCTTGTTTTTTTGAATATAGAAAATGTAAAAACCAATTTGAACTTTGTATTTCGATTTTAAAACACATCTTTTTCTTTGTTACAGGTCTGGTTCCAAAACCGCAGAGCGAAATGGAGAAAACAAGAAAAAGTCGGTCCATCCGGCCACCCCTACAACCCCTACTTAAACCCCAGCGCCTCGGGACCGTCCCCGCCGGTGGTGGCGCCTTCGTTGCCGAATCCCTTCAACCTTCCGTTCGGCTTAAGGAAACCCTTCGACTCGTTGACGTTCAGATATCCCGCCCACGTCCTTCCGGGATACCTCCCGTCGCCACCATCCTATCATCGAGGAGGACCGCCGCTCTTGCCGCCTTCCGTCGGTTTATACCCATCGGCTAGTTCGTTTCAGACGCTGTTGGCGAACATTTCCGCCGCCCAGAGACCGAAACAGGAATTTACGGCGTCCCCGCCATTGAGTCCGGGTTCCTCTGGATCAGGGGTTACCCCACCGGATGTGGATCGAAGGAGTTCTAGTATAGCCTCGTTGAGGCTGAAGGCGAGAGAGCACGAGTTGCGATTGGAGATGCTCAGACAGAACGGCGATTTAATCAGTTGAATGCGTTGGCAGTTAATGCGTTAATTTGTACCTACATTTTGTTTTGTTCCTTTTTGGATACGCGGGGTGCTAGAACTTGGACATATTTTTGTTTATAAAGAATATTTGTAGAATAGAAGTAAAAGTTTGAAAGGGTTTTGCCAGTTCTCCCACTTTATACACATAAATTGACAAGTTTGCAGCGGATCTCACCGAAGTGGACGAGATACATTGGCGTACAAAATTATTTTATAGATGTTAATAACAATTTCGAGTAAATAGTTTAATAAATTGTGAATGGCTGTTAAAATTTTGTAAAATTATGATTTGAATATTATAATACATGTTTAATAATTATTTATAGTTCATAAATACATGCGATTGTCCGGTTCCGCCGATAACAATTTAAAATTACTTATTCTATGAAACGACACTGGCAGGTAAACATTACTGCGAAATTCTCGAAGCCGTCCGACGTGGTTTGACGTTTACCCCCTCTCTACCTACCAAAAGCCTTTCCAACTTTTACTTTCGCTATATTTATTGTATTCCGAATTTTAATATTAGATTGTGAATCTGGTGATACATGTAGCTAAAATAATTTTTTCTACGATCACCAAAAGTAGGCATTTCCTGTGGAGTCTATTCTGTAAAGTTTTAGTTAATTTTAACCATCACGTTAGAAGGTTATTTATAACTATGAGGTTTAAATTTTAACCCAAATCTCTATTCGATATTCCATCAATTTATTTTGTGTTAGTAGCCATTTTATAATCAATCCTAGTTAAAATAGACTAAAAGTGAATTGAGATTATGCCAAGCACAGCTTTTAACATAGTAAAAATAATATATTTGGCATGTAATCATTACGAGATTTATTACTGACATAAGTTATAATTTATAACCAAATAATATAGAATACAAAATTAAAAATAATATCCGGTTATTTTTATAACCCAGGGTTAATTTTAACTAAATTTTTACAGAATCTTCAATATACACTATTAAGTGACAGTTTTGATGCAGTTTTATCGATTTATAGCGACCAAATTTTAAAAATACTCGCCGAAATTAAAAAGAGATTAGAAGGTAGGCAATACATATACATTTTACAATTTTTCAAATGAAATGTCATTAAATAGTTTCTTTTTTTAAAAGTTTTTATGTGAATACTGAATAGTAAATAGCTCTTTACAATAAATGACTTTCAACTTAATCTGTGGGTAAATAGTTATCAAATAGCTAAATGGTTTGAATATTAAATATACTTTCTCTGTTTCTGTTTTATATCTTTACAACATTGACTTTCGATATTAACTCTTTTTTGATTATACAAAGTGGGGTACTCAAAACAGTCCACCTTGTTATTCAGCAGTACTTACTCATTGGTATTAAGAAAATGCTGAAACAGATTGATTTTAGTTTGGAGGGGGACATTTTTCTAATTGCCAGCTTTGGCACTTCAACCCTCGAGCAGTGGGATGAACAACCACTACAATTTAAATAGAGAAAGTACCAAGGATGACACATCGACCAGTTTCAGTATTTTCTTAAAATCTAATCAATACTGCCAAATAACATTGTGGAATGTTTTGAGTGGCCCACTCTGTATATATACTTCTTAAAAAAATGTGATCGTAGAAAAAATAGTGTGTACATACAGTTAAAGCGCAAAACTTCATTGCAACTTTCTGTCTCAAGCGGCAAAGTATAACTTTACGCTCTTATACACAAATGTTACTTTTTAAACCAAAATTAAATACATTGTCGGCTATGGAATGTTTTCAATACGTTTTACGTAGGTCCAAGTGAAAACTATTGACAGTTAGTATCAGCAAGAAACGAATAATATTGTTTTACCAGTGTAATAGAAATTATTAATAATTAAGTCAAATAAAACAAAGCGTGAGCATCAACTAACAGCTGATTTCACTATAGCACTCAAGGCGACCCAATTCGTTCTGCCAGAAGGAGCGCAGACGACGGTTTGCTACTACCGTTATCAGTTGCCCGCACTACCCGCTTTTGACTGCCAATGTTCTTTACATTATATTACAATTTGTAATCACACAAAAATTGGTTTACCTGCTAACAAGTGTGTTTAAATTCGGCTTAATAGAAAAATTGCAGATAAGTTAGGATCAGTCAGGTTGATGTTGAGTTATCAAAAAGAGTTAACTTTATATTTTATATTGTTATCACAATTTATTGCAACTCAGCTTTAATAACAATTATACAACTGATAACGTTAACATGTAACGTTTATCATAAAACTGACGTTAGGTCGACGACTTATATAGATCGCCTCGACCTTCTAGAATCTTCTCGAACAATCCGGATTTTTCTTTGACAAGGAATGACATTTCGAGACATTTCTGGACTATTCTATCTTCTTCATTTACTCGTACCTTTACTTATGACTACCACAGCACGCTGCAGGGTGCTGCGTAACATTTCTCCCTCCTCTTTAGTTATTCGCCCCGAATAACTTGATTACTGGGACCCGGTTAGAGCTAACGTGAAGGATCTCGACCACGGCATGACGCTAACTTCCCAACGTGAATTACCTTGGATTTACTTCCCGCTGACAGCTGAATGCGGTAGATCAGGTCGTTGATTTTCCTTAAGGAAGGCCTTCCCAGTGCCGTTGCGATTTCTGACAAAATCCTCCTCGATGCTTGGGATTGTACAGCCGGACTGGTTCGCCTCTCTCAAAATGTGTCCCTGTAGCACGCCTATCAATTCTAGCTTCTGCTTTATGGCTGTTGGCTTCCAGTCGTTCCCGAACGAATCCGTAGATCTTTGTCCTGCCATTGCATACACCACATTTTTTACACTAATCTGCTACATCCCGTCGGCAATTGACTCAATAAAATCTTTCCCGAACTCGTGCCAGTGTTCTTTTAGTACCAAAATGTCGTACCGAACGGCTACAATGAAGCTGCTCCAACACACTTCTGACATGTGATTTCGGCAGTACCACTTGGCGGACTACATGTACTCCATCAGGGCTTTCCCACTTCCGGTGCAATAGGCCATTGTGAAGATACAGGAGATCCCACTGAGTCCAGTACCCTTTAATAGCTCCACTGTATTTGGCTATCTCTTGCCAAGTAGGTGTAACTTTATTTTTGAGCCATTGTCGAACAACTTTCAAATCGTTGTCTTTCTTCTGCCCCTTTCTCAGGCTTTCAAATGTGATTTCTTCTTCGTCACCCTCTGGTTTGATAGTGGTTGCCCGAAGGGTAACTTTATCAACTGGTTTCTCCCGTTCTCCGAGCCCCTTACTGTACCGGCATTCTCGTTCTAAACAGGGTCGCCTGGAGAGAATATCTGCGTTGCTATGGAGACGACCTCTAAGATGCTCTACTTCCTGATTATTGCTAGAAAGCCGGTTCGATGTGGGTGATTAGCTTCTTCGGGATATGCATAGCTGCTAAGACTATTTCTTGTTGGACTTCGTGACGGGCTTCGGAACATTGATCTATGTGACTTTTCGGCCTCATTCCCGGATTTTCTATTTATAGAACGAGCTCTGCTTCTACAGGTTCTTTGAATGTGCCCCATTCTTCCGCAATTGAAGCATCTTCCGTTCTCATTTTGGCTATTTCGTTGCATATTTTGCAGGATATTTAATATTAGTGAGAGGGTAGGTTGGGGAATAGCATTAGTATTGGCCTCCTCACTTTCCTGAGATTTAATTTCTCTCACTTTTGCGTTGAGTTTTACCGCTTCATATTCCTGAGCTGTAACCAGTTTCTCCCTTAGCGTCTTGTGATGTTGTAGACGAAGGGCTTGCTGCATTTCCACATCTTGTAGTCCAACAATGAATGCCTGTACTCCGATTTGTTCTTGGAAATCTTTCGGCGCCTGTGGATAGGCCAGATGAATCAACCTTCTTATGTCGGCCTCGAATTCCTGTAAACTCTCATTATGTTTCTGACTACGAACCTTTAGCTGGTTTTGGAATACCCGTTGCAAATGCTGCTGGCCATATCTTGTTTCCAAAGCTTAGACGAGAGATGAATAACTGGGTTCTTCTTGGGAAAGTAACTGTAAAACTGTTGCTGCCTGTCCTCGCAGCGACATTATCAATGAAGCCGCCATCTCTTTCTCGGTCCAACCATTGGCTCTAGCTGCAGCTTCAAATTGGAGTCGATATGTTTCCTATGTTATCTGACCGTCAAACGTGGGTGGCTTTAGGGTCTTGCTAGTATAGTTTTGTGAAACTGGGATTCGAATGTGGCTTGGTTTGGTTATGGATGAAGACGAGGTAGTATTTTTAGCTTCAATGTTGCTTACCGAAGCTTGGCTACGAATTCTTCTTTCTAACTCAACTAGTTCAGTTCTAATTTGCCTTTCAAACTCTACTCCAGTCTGTTCCTGTTGTTTTAAATTCTCTCGTAGTTGTTCTAAATTAGTTTTTATATGCTCTTGTTGCTGTTTTAATTTAGTTTGTAAATGCTCTTGTTATTGCTCTAAAAGATCTACTCTAATTTTAAGCTGACCAACCTCTTGCTTGAAGGTTTCCTGGATTTGTAGCAAAACGTTCATAATTTCAATCGCTTCTTTCCTACGTCTCTTCTCTTTCTCCTCATCTTCTTCCTTTATACGACTTTCCTTTTCCTCTTCTCGTCTTTCCCTTTCCTCTTCTCGCCTTTCACTTTCCTCTTCTCGTCTTTTTCTCTCCTCTTTCCGTCTTTCCTTTTCCTCTTCTCGCCTAAAAAATCATGCTGGTAGGCCTGAAGTATCCATATCTGTTTCGTGCTTACTGGACCTAGTATTTACAATGAATAGAATGCTTGGGTAACTTTTACTTTATATATCCCACCGCTGTCACCAATTTTACGCAGATTTTTGGTATCACAATTTATTGCAACTCAACTTTAACAACAATTATACAACTGATAACATTAACATGTAACGTATATCATAAAAATGAAACTGTGACGTCAGGTCATCGACTTATATAGCTCGCCTCAACCTTCTAGAACCTTCTCGAACAATTCGGATTTTTCTTTGACATTTCGAGACATTTCTGCACTATTCTATCTTCTTCATTTACTTATAACGACCGCAGCACGCTGCCGTGTGCTGCGTAACAATTATAAAAATAAAAGTTCTTTCATAGAACCCCTCGTTGTTTTAATATCAACGTACCCAACCGGCTGCTTGTGGGTTATATCTCGCCGTGTGTCTATTCACACTACACAGCGCACAAGGCAACGTTGATATTATTCAGTTCCTGCTTACACTAATGCTAAATCTCTGTAGTTTTCGCTTCGACCGACGCTAGCAAACCGTATGAGAAGGTGTTCAATAGCCGATACTTATATCTAACTTTGATGATTATGAGATCAACATTGCTATATTATACCAACCGACTAAATCATCTTATAATAATGTCAATAGAACGCCATTTGGTCAATGATAATTGTAACTACTGAAATAATAAAGAGAATAAATTGTAAAATTGAAAAATTAGTAGATTTGCAATCTATCTTTATTGTGAATTTACATAATGAATTAAAATTTTAATTGTTAGCGTACTTGAGTGAGATTTTAAATTATTTTTATTTTAGCTAAGGTCGTACTTGTTTGTTTTTTTAAATATATTTTTAATGTACTTTATTTTTACTAT